AGAGAGAGAGAGAGAGAGAGAGAGAGTGTGTGTGGAAGCTCTGTGTTAAGGTCAGCAGACCTGATGGACGTACCCCAGTTAGCGCCTTTGAGGACCACACGAATTGGGCAGCTGTTGACGAGCATTTACTGTATCCCGAACACATTTTTGCTCAGCATGTTCGACGACCTATCAGACTTGCTGCCACCATGAATGAAGACGGGAACCAGTCAAGTCAAAGGGCATTCAAAGAACTAGTGGATGACCCAGTCTCTTCGCGGTAGTCATACCCGGAACGTGAGTGAAGCTGTCCTTTCATTAAGTTTTGCACACTCCATTTGATAATTCAAACAAAAAGTTGCCATGGTTATGATGAGCCACCAGGAGCGTCTTCTGGAAGATGCTGCCCAAACTTCGAGGGGAGCCCACATTGCCTATTTTCTCCTGCGGGAGGTCTGATTCTCCAGCGTTTCGTGTTTTGTGCGGGACATGCAAGGTGCTTTACATTGGCAAGACGTGCTGGTGTCTGGTGGGTTTATGTCGCAGCTTGAGTTGACCGATATTCTGCTCTTGCAATCTACACCTGCAGATTCTTAATTATATAATCATTTTGGTACCTTTTGTATGAAGAACCATTGGGCGCTGTTGGGCCTTGGGCACCTGTCACATCCGATGCGGTTGTAGTAGAACCTTGGAGCTCTGAGTGTGAATTGTCTCAGTTGCAACAGTTTGAAGAGAGGTTGCGCATCAGTTCCTGTCATCAGCAAAAGATGACGTTGATTCTGCAGAGGTTCTTGCAGCCCTGAAAGCAAATTGTCCAGAAAGCTGATGTATTGATTGTTTGATGATTCATCGACCAACAACACATGGGATTTTGATCCCTGAATACAAAGCTTGTAGATGCAACAAAGGGCAGTTTCTCATGGACCCATGTGAGCTTCACCTACTCTTCATGGAAGATGACAGTTCTTGCCCAGCAATATCTTTCCAAAGCTAGAGGATCCCCAACGTTTAGGACAAGAGATGACGAAAGCGCAGCACAATCTTGCCTGCAGGTATGGTGCTTCGGACTTCATTGGACGCCATGATGACCAAGCCTTGGTGCCTTTCTTTGGTCGGGCGCTCTCAGGTGGTAAAGAGTGAGTTCGAGACATGAGCATTTGACAAAACTTCCGTACATGTACTTTAGTCATGAGCCGCATGGGTATTTCTGAATTGATCATAACCTTGCAACACCGATAGGGGTCAACCCTATATCGATATGTTTTTTGGCTGAACGTAGCTCATTGCCTGCATTCCAAAACACTGGAAACCGATAAGGGCCAACCCACAATACTTTTGGCATTGGGGACACCAAGAAGTTTTGTCCGCCACTCACATGATATGTGCACACTAGAATTCTGTTTCGGGAGACTCAAGCGGCGCAAGTGCCTGAGATGATCACACCATCTACCGGCGGAAAGTGGCCGCGATTTGGTATCTCACCAAGGCACAAACTGCGCAGGGCAGCGTAGAAGTGAAACGTGTCAAGGAAAGCAATACGATCAATTTTACAATGAAGTACCTATGACCATGACTATAAATTTATCCTGTGCATTCAAATCTTGCACAAACTGCATCATTGAAATCTACTCGGTTGATGCAAGCTGCAGTGACACAGTGACATAAGCGTGTTTGTTGGTTTGGGATAGTTGCTAGCAAAATGACTAACCCTTTGAGTCGTGTAGACAGACATGCCCAGGACTGGACTGAGACAGAAGGTGGCTGCCTTGTGGATTTGAAGGAGATGAAGGAGAGGCAAAAGGACTTGCATGAGTTCAACTATTTGACTAGCAGGAATCT